CCATAAGACTTCTCGATCAACGGAGTCAAATGCCGCCTTCAGGTCGAGAAATACAGCTATTGTCGGGCGTCTGTAAGCATGCCTATGTTCCAGGACCTGGCGCAGTGTGAATATTTGGTCGATACATCCACGGCCAGGTCTAAAGCCTGCCTGGTTTTCTCGGGCTTGCTGTTCCCGAGCTCCACTCAGGCGTCGGAGAATTATAGAACTTAGGATCTTAGACACTATGTTTGTCAGGCTGATTCCTCTGTGGTTATCACAAGAGGACTTCTCGCCTTTCTTGAAGACTGGGATGATCAGTGACTTAGACCAGTCGGAGGGGATCGTATTTGATTCCCATATACTGGCTAACACTTCCGTTAGCCTGACTAAGAGAACTCTACCACCATTCTTGTATACCTCAGCAGGTAGTCCGTCTGGTCCTGCTGCCCTTCCCCGTTTCAGGCTACCTACCGCTTTCTCAACTTCTTCTAGTGTTGGGGGACCTGTCTCTATGTCCCATTCAGGGTCCGACTGGATAGCGGGCAGCGCAATGGTGGCTGGAGGCCAGTTAAACTGTTCCTCAAAGTGTTCTGCCCATCGTCCCAGTCGCCTTCCCTGCGAGTGAATCGCCGATCCGTCCTTCTCCGCTATAACCTCACTAACTGTTGTTGACCATTTCCCCCCAGTCTCCTTAATAAGTCTAAATAACTGTCTACTGTTACCGATCGCCGCTGCCTTTTCCATCTCTTTAGCCTTTGCTGCCCACCACTGTTCACGATCGTTGCGCAGACTTTTCGTCAGTTTATTTTTAAGTTGCGCTCGCTCTTCATTGTACTCAGAGCCTGCAGGGATGCATTCACGTGCATCCATTAGTTTGGAAGAAGCTGCTGATATCCACTGGCTCTTTTTAGCCATTATCTTGGAGTCGGCTACAGTCTCCAGTGCTGCTTTTACAGTAGACTGAAGATGGCACCAAGCTTCTTCTGGATGAGTGACAGTCTTTTGTTCCGATAACTGCCTAGCCAACTTCTCACTGAACACGGCTTTGGTGTTTTCGTTGTCCAGCAGAACTCGTAGTGGTTTTGTTGCCAAATTTTTTCTACGTCCATTGAGACGCAGGCATATACGTGCTCGGACCAACGCATGATCGCTGTCCAAACACGTACTCCAGAAGGAGCGGCAGTCTTCCACCGATCCTCTCCAGCGATGACTAATAGCAATGTGGTCTATCTGTGTCCATCGCTGAGTCGAGCTCGGTGGACGCCAGGTCAGACAGTGCCTTTCTTTATGTCTGAAATTTGTGCTGGCTAAAAATAGGCGGTTATCTGAGCATAGTTGTAATAGGCGATCACCGTTATCTGTACGTTCAGCTGGGATTCCGAAAGTGCCACCTAAGTGCCTTTCTGCCTCACTCAGTCTACCCACCTGTGCGTTGAGGTCACCTGCAACAACCACTACGTCCGAACGTTTGGCTTTCGAGAGGAGGTTAGACAGTTTATGGTAGAACTCGTCCTTCACTTCATCCGAACTACAGTCAGTGGGTGCGTAAGCAGAGATTACAAAGAGACAACGGCGAGTCTCACTATTCCTTTTAGTTCTCACTGTGCCGTTCAGCCTCATAGCGCAGAGGCGACTATCAACTGGGATCCAGTCTAGTAGTGAGTTTTCTGCCCTGGTGCTTAATGCTATACCTACACCTGCAAGACCACGAGAGCTAGCTATCGAATCTCCAGAAACTCGAAGGGTGAATTTTGCAGATTCACCAGATTGGTCAGGAGAGGTCAGGTGAATAACCACACTTGGGTCCTGTATGCGTGTCTCACAAACACAGCACACATCCATGCCTCGAGTTGCTAGAGTCTTTGCCAACGAAGCCTGTTGGCCAATTTGACGGAGGGTGCGGACATTGAAGGCTCCAATATGTAATTTGGAGCGTGGTTTAAGGAGACCAGGGACGCTGTTCTGTGGACTCAGATCGTTGTCGAAGGCTGCAGAGGTAGGAGAAATTGAAGATGATGCAGCATCATTAATTAAGAGACGTGAAGGAAGATTAGAAGGTAATGATGGAGGAGGAGGATAGCAGTCAGAAGAAACTTGGGTGCTGACAGAGTTGTGAGGGCGGTTGACACTTCCCGGCTGCCCACACCGTGGAAGGCTATTTCTTCTTAAGGTACCTGAAAGAGATTTGTGTGACCGCAGAGCCCATCGGACATCTGCTTGAGGCCTGTCACACCCAGCCTTTTGAGTATGAGAGGTTGTGGGCTGTCTTGGAGCCAGGTTCAAAAGATTGCAGAAAACAGAGTGGAATGGCGACGTGCTACTGAAGCCTTATGTTTCACTAGGAACCCAAGGGACAAATAATAATAATAATCACAACGCATGCACACAATAGGGTGGGATGAAACCACTGTACTTCAATCCAGTATAAATAGGTGGAGAGAGATCGCGATTAATTACTGAATCTTTATTCACCGAATCAACCACCACCCAATACATGTAATATGAATGATGCAACAGCTATACTGTAGATATGGATAACATTTCGACCAATAGAAACAAAGAATATGAGGTGGGTGACAGGAGTACAAAAATCAGGTATCGAAAGTGCTGTTTGATTAAATTGATATGATTATGAGCAATGATAATTTATGCTTGATACGTCATCACTAAGTAAATAATACTGTATCACTCACTGTGTGTTGTAAATTAAATAAACAAATCTAGTATGGAATTATATTCTACTACAGTGACCAAATTTTACGCTTTTATTAATACTTTATTATATTTCAGTTTATTAGTATAACAAAAATGAGGACTCTCAAGGTGAATTTTCGTACGCATTCTTTACCACTTCATAAAGGGTAAGATATGAAATCTGATAGATTGTCTTACTTTTATCATTTAAGCGAATATCTATTAGTCATTGACGAGTAAGGAGGCTAGAAACAGCTCTTACAGTAGCTGGAACATGAATTTGATAACTAGAAAAGAAACATTTTATTTTTAATAGCCTTGAGGATATCTGTTCCAAATAAACACTCATATAATGATCGTATAAACCACACGCCTAGTGTTCGAATCTTCCCCAAACTCTAAGTGCTTTTGTAACAACTTCAGTCAGGATATTATAGATTTTATTATCAGGAAGGAGATAACAAAGACTTGATTATTTTGAAGGCTCTTTTTCACTACATATTGATGTCTTTTATGGAAGCACTGAACATTCAACAACTTCCGCTTCCCCTTGAAGTAGGTAACTGTGAAAATTATAATAAGAATCTCCAGTCCATAGGATACATCCTAGTTAATAGCTGATAACATTTAAAAGTGATTATACAAGAAATATCAGTATAGAGATTTAGCCAAATCTGTTAACATTGAGCATTTTACGAGATTTGAAGGTTCCAAGTTCAATTTTAAAGTAATAGTATGCATAGGTAAGGTTACAATCAAAGGGGAAGCAATAATCCTCAAACTCCTAACTGCCACCTTCTCTAAGGATACCCAAATTAAGACGCGGGAAAGATCTATGAAGTCTCTGCCTGACCTGAGCCATGCTAGCTGTTTGTTCACGGTTCACGTTGCTATTTCTCATACGTCTATCCAAGTCAGACTCAGGTGATTTGAACTAAATCGGTTCTATGAGTTGAATTTGTTCGGATACACCTGTGATGAGTTGGCTCAGTCTTTTGGTGTTTAGTTTGATCACTCTGATCTAGTTGGCTGGCTGACCTGAATGGTTTCTAACTGCTCAAGTTGTTCAGTAGTTGTAGTAGTAGTATCTGATTAGTTTTCATCTAACTGTAATTGGGAGAAATAAGACTGCTTCTCGATAGTCTGTGGAATAAGTTCTCATCAAGTATATCTCCATTGGAGTTGTAGCTTTATGAATAGTGATCTCCTTTGAATAGTTACTGTCTGAAGTATCTTCTACCCAATCTATTTATTAGCTTCAAAAACGTTTTCCAGGATAACCTATTGCAGTTACGATACTTGTAATTTCCCCTTGCTATATAGGACCGAATTAATCAACCTTTGCTCTTGTCAGATGGGCTGCTATGTGGGCGCTTCAGTACTGCTGAATATTCACGATTGCTATGTTGGTCTCGTTGACTAGCAGAGGAATCCGGGATGCATGTTTCATCCTATTTGGGACTCCTCAGCTGGATGTACTTGCATCCTAGTGGGTGACTTTGTTCCCACTGGAGTTGAAACCCAGTACCCATCGATTCAAACTCCAGAGCCTTTTCCACTGAAGCACGATAGCAACCTCTTGTACAACGAGTATCATTTGTTGTTATTATGATACTTGTAATTTCCAGTTTCTATACAGGTCCGATTCTCTCGACCTTTATTTACAATTAGGCTTCTATGAAGATGCCTCAAGAGTATCGGATATCCATAATGTTATATTCATCTTGCTGACTTGCATAGAGATTAGAATTCACTGAGATAGGTGCAACAAAATTCATCTAACAAGTCTCAAATAGGATGAAACACACATCTTGAACTCTTCATCTTCTTTTAGTCACTAAGATCAATATTGGAGTTGATTAAATTTGAAATAGAGTCTAACTTACTTCAATAAACTATACAGTATAACATTCTTATGTAAACCAAAAAGAGAAAAATATGATCTGATTTTCATTTCTTAATATGCCTAGTAAAACTTGTGCTACTTTCCTGAGAACACGATTTTTTTTTAAAGAATACATGATCCATATATATATATATATATATATATATATATATATATATATATAACAAATCGAATCGAAAATCAATAAAAAATGTACCAGTAATGGTTCCTTGTGTTTTAATCGATAAAAATGAACTGTTTTACCTGGAAACAAATTGATTACAATAAAAAAATCAGTATTAAATTGATATACTGGCTTATATCATAAAATCAGATTATGTTAACCTGAAATAAGCTTATAAGTTTGAAAGATTTATTCAATTTTCAATGAATCTTTTTCGAGATATCAAGTTTAAAAGGTGTAGAGCAAAAATTTATTAGAATGATATATTTAGGGAGAATAGTAAACAATGATACATTCAATTGTAACTATTTCACTATTGTTATATTCAACTTGAACTATTCACACCTTGTGTGTGTGTGTGTGTGTGTGTGTGTGTGTGTCAGTGCTCAAATAAAATCTTTTAACAATTCAACATGTTTCTCTTCTTTTTTTATTATGGATTAACAAAACGTTTTGATACATTCAAAAGTGAATAGAAATTATGATTATTTAAAAAGATATCTACTAATGGATGACAGTCACCTTCTGATAATCGATAATTGGCTAGTTGAATTACTCCATGATAATGAACAAATGCTGCAACAATCACGAACACATGAAATATTTGATGACTTTGAAGCTGTTCAAAAAAATTGAACAAAGAAATTATTAAATTTTGAGGGAGTTGTGGAGATTTGGAAATATTTCAAATTGTTATTCATCGAAGACTGACATTTAATTGAACTGGTGCTCATTGGTGACTAGCTTCGAGACGTATTCCCGAAGTTCCAATGAGAAGTCGTGACCGGTGGAGTCAAAGCCTGATGGCCGTGAGGACAGATACTCATCGATGACATTGGGTGGCGGTTTGCGCTATATCGTGAGCTAACAGAAGTTGGAAATATGGATGGTTGGATTGTGACCCAGTGGCTCAGTGGTAACGCACTGGCCGCGGAACCTGAAGGTCGCAGGTTCGATCCCTGGTGGTGCGGGGTCGCGGGTGCGCACTGCTGAGGAGTCCCATACTAGGACGAAACGGCTATCCAGTGCTCCCAGGTTTCCTTTGTTCCTCCAACTGATATCAGTCTTCGATGAATAACAACTTGAAAGAAATTATTATATCAAACAGTTTGATAACTATAGTTTTGTATAACAACTTATCAGATGAAAGTTTAAGTATTAGTCAAAAACATCATGAAAGTATGATGATTTAGATTGAATTTGTTTACTTGAAGGTTTCGTTCTTGTTGGCATTGATCAGTAACGTGTAGTTGAAACCTCAAGAGAAGTGATTTCTCATCTGAAATATGAATCTATGTTACTCAGCGTATTTATAGTCAGCGAGATTACCATTAAGATATTCGAGTTGCAACTGATGTTCTGTATTTAGAACTGGATTAAATACATTGATTGGTTACTGGAGGGTAACTAATTTCATGTTGTCTATTCCTGATCACTTTACAATGTGTTCATCAAGATGGTGAACTTCTTAACCTCGGCAGTGGGACTAAATCATCAGAAATTGGTTACTCTTCAGTGATTAATCAATGTAAAAATCTAGATCGTTTCTGTTTTCAAATCAATGAGCCCTAAGCTTTCAGTCCAGTTTGCTATACAAGTTGACCAGAATTAGGTTATATTTTTTTAAGTACCAATCACTGTCCCAAGTATAATACCAATATAAAGATTATTACTTCAACTATCATAGATCGTTTGATTACTAGTGACCAGAAAACTTTTTAATGAGCCTATGGGTTCAACTCCAAGATGAATGAAAGATATATAGGATAATAGAAGATAGGATAGGCCAAGACAAACTTTCTCCTCTTCACTTTCAAATATTGTCCAAATGATATTTTTCTATGATACATAATAACGGTGGATGGTAACTGAACGTGAAATGGAAATCTCAGCAACCGAAGAATTCGAACTACCCACCTCTGGATCACTTCATTTTACCTTCAGTCACCAACCAGTATCAATAATACAAGTCTATCAAACTATGACTATCTCAGATAAATAGTCACACGTATCACACATTTTTATTATAGTAATGATGTATATAGTGGCTAGCAGTGGAACCTAGGATGCGCATTTCGTCCTGTATAGTTTTAGTATAATTGCTTGTATTGTCGGTCCAATCAACGACAGTATACTACAAGCAATAATAGTAAAAATTACAACCGTCGCACAAAAAGTGGCTATCGTGACTCGGTGGTCTAATGGATAACGCTCTGGCGTCTGAAGCGATCGGTGCCGAGTTTGAATCCCGGTGGCAGGAACGTCACTCACTGGGAGGCAGGTACATCCAGATGACGAGTCCCAAATAGGACAAAATGCGCATCCTGGATCCCACTGCTAGCCACTATCCATCATTACTATAATTAGAACACGGGTAATATCCAGGCATCCACACGGCAGCCCATATGTCAATAGAGACCGATTAATTTGGTCCAATCAACGATGGTATAATACAAGCAATAATACATTTCTACTATAGTTTACAAACTTATCTTGAAAATACGTCAATCATATTCACAGAAAAGTTATTCACTCAATAAACCTAGCATGTCAATTATTAGTTTTTACTTCAATATTATTATGTAGGTTGTTAGGCTACAAAATGTAGTCAGGTTAGTTAACCATTTTTAGTTAACATTGTTGTATAACATAAAAGTCCAGGGATTATCGATCTGAATAAGGTCACTATAGCGGAAATTTATAAATTTATACATACTGATTATCTACGTGAGTGAGGATTAAAGTTTTGTATCTTTGAGATGAATGAGGATTTTAATTTTGAGGTAGTAATCATCATAGGGGTGACATCACTCGGAGAACCATTTAAAACCTAAAAGCACTGGGGTCAACCAGTCGGAAGGGAAGCGGATGCCAACTGAAGGATCATGGGTGATAGTCACGCTATACCTCGAGTTGATAGAAGTCAGAAACTGTGAACCATTGAACTCCGACCCAGTGACTAAATGGTTAACACGTCCGCCATGAAACCTGAAGGTCCTGAGTTTGATCCCCAGCCGGATAGTCGGTGTATACTGCTGAGGAGTCCCACACTAGGAAGAAACAGCTGTCCAGTGCTTTCAGGTTTCTAATGGTTCTTTAACTGATATCGGTCCGTGATGAATACTACCTCAAAATTAAAGTTTTATTATTAACTTTTTTTAAGAATTACCCCCGAAAAATATTTCAGTAACACTGAGGAATTTTCACATTTTTATGCATAAAGAAACACATCAGCGTCAATTGTGAATAATTTGATTAAAATGGAAACCTTAATAGATAGTCGCACTATATATCGTGAAGAGTTAAACGGCTTACAGGGTCGTGGGTGAGCACTGCTGAGGCATCCCATAATAGAACAAAACATCAGTTCAGTGTTATCAGGTTTTCAATGGTTTTCTGAATGATGTCAGTCGGTGGTGAATACCATCTTAAAATATTAGTTATCTAAAACGCCAGTACTTATACTTGAGATTAAATTTGAAAAGAAATTCCGCTGATAACTTAATCCTGATTAGCAGACATTTACTAATCAGTTCGATAAAGTGTCATGTTAGCCTACTATGCATCACATATTTATAATGCGCAGAAATATCATATAGTCGATGGTCAACAGTTTATCGAAACCTTATCAAATCAGTTGTCAAGACTACAATTTTTCTTTGTGTTTTAAAAACTAGAAATATAGAGTTGATTGATTACTTACTAGTCATTATGCCGACATACAAAAAAAAAACCTTTGTACAGTATAAAACATACCCGAAATAAACATTAAAACACAGTGAACAAATGTTAAATGAAGTGGGTAACGCCATAAGACATACAAAACCAATGTAAAACCTTTCATATAAGTCTATCACTTCAATTTGCCACACTTCATAGTAGTACACAAAGAAAAGGTGGATAGAATAATAGTGTTATCAAAGTAGACAAAGTTGAATGTAGGAGAATAAACTATTAGAACATAACGGTGTAGTGGTGATGGTGTCATGTCTCAGTCTGGCCACTCAATATACTCTTCCAATCGAATCCAACTTGGCATACACAGTACATGTTCAAGTTAGTTCAGTCAATAAAGGCTCATAACCTCATAGACTGACTTGTCTTCCTTGCCTAGTATCCTTTGTCTAACCTCGACATTGCTCATATGATGATTCCATTATATGTATACAATACTATGAAGATACTTGTGATCAAAAACTTGTAACCACTTTGTATCTCTTACAATCAGCAACCATGTCTCACATTGGGTATAACAGGAGAGAATGAACTGCAGCTCAGTTTATTCGTACGTTAATAAGTGGTCGGTTATCTCACCAGCATCATAAAGTTCACGTACGCAAACAAATACAGAAGTAAAATAGTCACACTAGGAACATATGAATGGATCAGAGAGAGAGTTATATTTCACCAGTACTGGGATAGAGCAATACATGAATTCTTAACTCCAAACCTAACCAGTTTATAAGGAATATTGTAAATATGAATTTGGGGGTTTTGTGGGGATTCAGAGATTTTTCAAGCTGATATTTATCATGAAGTGACAGTAGTTGGAGGAACATTAGAAACCCGGGAGCACTAGACAACAAATGTTTCGTCCCATTAGTATGGGACACTTCAGCAGTGCGCACCCATGACCCCCTCAGAGATCGAATCCACGGCCTGCAAGTTCCGTGGCCAGCACGTTACCACTAAGTTACTGGGTCGCGTGCCACGGAACATGGAAGTTGCGGGTTCGATTCCTGGCGGGGTCATGAGTGCGCACTGCTGAGGAGTCTCACACTAGGACGAAACAGCTGTCCAGTGCTCCCAAGTTTCTCATGTCCCTCCAACTGATGTCGATCCATGATGAATACCAACTTAAAACAAAGTAAATACTCTTAATTACAGAACAGTAGCTACATTATTTGAAATATATCTAGATGAAGAATTGAAAATCTTGGATAACACTATTTGAAAATGAGTAGGCTGACAAATTTGTCCATAAGTACATCAACACAAAAGCAGAATTGAAAATGTATTTCCACTAAAAACAAGAGGTTATTATATATTGGAATGTGATATTCGATGTTCAATAAAAATAGTAATTTATAAATTAACTGTTTCAATAGGAAAAAAATTTTAGTACTAGGAATATTAGAAATGATGCTGTTATCCTTCTGTAATACAAAGACAAAGGATGAATCACTTAGACTAGTCAGTTTATCAAGATTACGAAACAATAATGAAAGAAGTATAAAATGGATCCACTTTATTTCAGTGGTATCTTGTCAACTGCCTACACAACTTAGAATGTCAAAATGCATTAGTTATCTATTGAAAAGTTAACATACTTTAATTCGGAGCAATTAATCCCTTTAATAAATTTCGGTGACTTTATTAGAAGAAAAAAATTTATTTGAACAGCGCATATGTGTAATGTAATTGCGCAATACAACATTTCTAACAATCTGATCCTTTATACATTTACTTATCAAGTCAATTTATATATGAAAATGAAAGAGGTGAAATATAATGAATATGAAAAGGTTGTGACATTCGCTTTCATAATATAATCAGATTATCAAAGATTACCAAGGTAAACTAAATGAAGTGAAATAAAAAATCTGATCAGCAGTTGGA